CCCCCCCCATTATTTAATACACTGAACTTCAAATTAATACATTTGATTACACGTGAATACATTGGAACTTAAAATAAATTCCAATTTAATTTAATCAACTTCGATTGAATTAATTTATGACAATCATTAATTAAAATGAAATGCTGGCAGCACTCAAAGCTGATGAGGTCCCTGTGGGCCTCCCTAGGCCCAAGGGACCTTCCTAGCCCTTTGCCCTTCACTTCCTTGCTCCTTATCCCAGCCAGCATTTCCCCAAACTCTGGGGCTGTAACTGAGCTCAGTCTCCTCCCAGCCCACATTCGGAAGTCACCCATGGGTGCGACAGCCCAGCTCTCAGCAGAAAATGGGATGTCCACAGAGAGAGGTGTGAGTAAATCATCCCACTCTGAGGTCCCTTATGTGGTTGGTTGGTTTGTTTGTTTGGCCTGTGAAAGCACCAGGCTTGGGGCCTCGCCAAATTTCCCTGAATTTCTGTCAGTCATGCTGGCCCCGAAAGAGGGCAGCATCCTCTGCAGGTTAATCTGGAATGATTAATGCGAGCCACACAGCATCTATGCACTTGTGGCTGCACGTCCTTAGCTATATCAAGGGCCGGGTGGAGGCTACTCTTCAGTGCCTTTCCCAGGTCCTCTGTCTTACAGCTCTTCCTCAAGATCCTCTTCCTCAGGAGCCCCTTGGCTTTGTGGGTGCCAAATCACTCAGGAATTCTTTTGAGAGACAAGCCAGGAGTTGCTGTTTCTCTTTCTGTGGCTTTAACTTGTTTAACTTGTACCCCATACCAGACGCTGACCCCATGCCAAGCCATCCATCACTGTCCTTGAAGCCGCTAGTCTGGCCAGATGCCACCTGCCTGATGCACTACCTTGCAAGGCCATCTTCTGCCCCATCCTGGCTTTTGCAAGAGGTTGGTTTTCTCTTTCCTTTTGGATGTGGGGTGCAAGCTGGCTTAGAGACGATGTTCTCCCTCTGCAGGAGCTGGAGGTGAAGAGAAAGGACTGGTAGCCAGCCAGGTGGCACGGTGAGCCTGAGCACCGTATGTGAGGGCCAGACAGTGCTGCGTCTCTCCCTGCAGCTTCTTCCCAGCCTGGGGTGGTTTCTGGCTCCTTTTGCCTGCTCTCCCAGTAATGCTCTGCCCCTCTTCCCCTTAGCTTATGGGCCTGGGTTTGGCAGGTGGGCACTGCCTGGCTCCCCTGCCTGGGGAAGATGAGCAGATGTCGGGCACTGGGAGCTCTGCAATGAAGTACCAGCGTCAGGTTTAACCTGGGCCTTTCTGGTTTATTGGTAATGACCGAAGGGTGTTTCTCCCCTTTGGCCTGGTACCCAAGGATCCTTACTGCAGGGTAACAATAAGCGTATTAGGTGGTTTGGCCCCGACGGCTCTCTCTGACTAAGCTCAGCAAAGGAAATAGGATTAACAGAGCTGTTTCCCGATGCCACGAAGTTGTAGATTGTTCACTTCTTCCCTTTTACTTTTTAATGAGTCGATGCGAAAAGCAATTCAAAGCAGAGCCTGGCCCTTTCCAAGCTCTAGGGAAGCATTTAAAGCCATCTGGTCTTAGAGATAACATGGGCTGGCTGGAACTGCCTTCCTTCCCATGCTTCCCTGGCTGCTGGGTGGGGAGAGCTACCTTACTTGGTGTTTCCTACTTCTCCAAGGCTATGACTTAGTTTTTCCTACCTTGGCAAAGCCATGTCTTTAGGAAAGCGATGGAAACTTTATCCAGGCACGATCTAGTTGGCGTGCTGTTCTCTTTCTTTCAATCCCACTTTGTAAATTGGAGCAGGAAGAGGCCTTGACCAAAGGCTAGTGAGAAAAGATCCAAGCCAGGATGGTCAGAGCATAGGACTGATTCCCAGGGGTGGGGGGAAGGGGGCGGAAATCCGTGATGGCCTATTAAGTGTGGGGTTGCCACTTCCAGCCTCAGAGATCACCACGTTGTAGGAGGCTGGGAACACATTTGGGGCAGTATTGCCATGTGTTCACCCTCTTCTCTGCCTCTCTAGGTGTCTGCTTCTGGCTGCTGGTGGCAGCACCCCAGAGAGGACAGGTACTAGATCTTATCGGTGGCTCTTAGGTTACGTCTTTATCACACCAACTGGGCTTTTCCCGATACTCCACAAGTGGCCACAGCTGGAGAAAACACTCATGCAGCAGTCTCCA